CGGAGCTGGCGGCCGGAGGGAGGCCGCGACAGCCGCGGTCTGCGAGCCGGGCCCCAGCTCGTAGTCGCCTCTGTGGTACGAGAATGAGGAAGGGAGCCGCGTGATCCGGAGGGGAGCTATCAAAAATCTCATTTTTCCGTGACTGATAAAAGCTTTATGTCGGTTTTACCTCACACGCCAGACTGCTGAGGGAGGCATGATCTCACAGCAGATGTTCACAAAGTGAGGTGACAGAGAAAGAATGAGCACCCAAGCCCTTCTTCGTGTTACTTATCCGTATTTATTGTGGGAGCATGCTCAAGGTTTCCTGTTTACATGCCTGATCAGCGGGATCAGGAGCTCTCAGTGCGCAGCCTCACGGCACGCCCAGCGACCTAGCCGGAATCTACAGCTCTCTAATGTCATTTTTCAGCACTTTTGATTGAATTACAGTGTCCATCCAGGGCTACTTCGCCTTCATCACAAAACCAAACGTGGCAATGAGTAAGAGACCATCGCTGTTTTCAGAGTTAAGCCATAACGAGGTGAGCCACAACCAGAGCTGGGGAAGCTGCCTTCCCTGAGGGTTTTCACCAGATTTTACCACCTTTGTGCCAACACCCTTGCTCCCTGCACACTCCCCGTTTCCCTGGGGCTGCTCCCGCTCCGCCAGCTGGCCCGGCGCTATCGGGGCGTGGACCGGCCAGCGGCGCTGATAACCACCGAGCCCGCTCTGCGGCCCTGCCTCCTCCTGTTGGGGCCTCATCATCCCCTCTTACTACCAATGTCCCAAAAACTGTGGGAACCGAGGTGCTGTTAGGACCCCCGGCCTGCTGGCGAATTCAGCTGGAACTGGCCATTGCGTTTGAGTCCTTGAGGCAACAGTGACAGAGAGAAAACACGGGTATATAGGCTTCAGTTTTTTAATGAAATCAGAGTGAAAGTAGACGCAAAGGAGAGAAGACAAAAAACCCCACTTTAAGAGCCATAGATGCTGACGCTGTGTACTCCAGTTAGCAGAGGAAATAACAAATTTCCTGCAAAAGCTGTTTTTAGTGTAAGAAAAATCCACTTTGCCTTAATCTTTTTCATGAGTAATGTAAATAATGTAAAAATAGAAAGGAGAAACAAAACCATGCAATTATTTCCTTGCAGTCCATTTGAAATATGTTTAAAAAAATCAAAGACTGAAGTTTTTATTCACATACATTAAAAATAAAGGTTCCAAATGCACAAGGCTGAGCAATTCAGATATAGGATTTCCTTCACTGATACAGGCACATGGCGTTTGTTTCTTTAACAGGGATACCTTACCCAATATTTAATTTTAAGATATTGTAAACACTGCAACTACAGAGATATAATAGATAAATATTTTTTATTAAAAAAAAAAAAGCTGATAAAAAGAGCTCACCCTTTTTTTAGTTTAGTTCAGAGTTAATTGGGCAAGAGTAATTTCCTTTCAAAGTCAATGAGCACAAGTCTGACAGCCCTAGCTGAGATTTAGCAGTTCAAAGGCTTCCTCGGCCTGGATGAATCCTTCAGAATTATTATTACATAAGAAATGTTGAATTTAGTATCTGTGTAAAACATTGCTAACATTAATCTCTTGCAATTTCTTTATTGTGTGCATTTTTTTTTTAAGCTAACCAAGTTAAAAAATAAAAATGTATCTTTGTGTGCATCCTTATACGCTGCAGTTTCGCCGGGAGCAAGGGCCCTGTGCACTTCACTCCCCAGCACGGGCCCTCGGTCTGTGTCAGAATTTCTCCTCCTCGCTGTTTCCAGAAGCATTTCTGGAGGGCGGAGATTGTCTAATTTTAGTACCTCAGAGAACCCTCTGCTCTCCAATGAGCGGGCGGCTGCATCTGGAGCTGCAGCCAATTACCCCGGGTTTCCTCCTGCTACGCTTCCCACGATGGTTTAATAATGCAGACATACAAATTTAAAGTGGCCCCACATGCTCAGAGAAAAGCACATTATGTGTTCCCTAACAAAGACATATCTTTTTATGGTAGTAGCAGCATCTTAAAGGTTTCTTCTAAAGCGTTGGATTCCATAAACCTGACCTTACAACCCTCTGTTAGTATCATTATCTTATGTATACTGTCTTTACAGTGCTTGAAAAAATATTTCTGATCACTAAAAGGCTGGTCTGAAACATCTTCCCTAACTCCTGTAGGCCAGGAATGTGATTTTAAGAAAAGAAGCAAAAGAAAAAAAAGGAAAATTATAATTACAATGTAATGAACCGCTACAGTTCTGAATAATTCTCTGGGCATAGCTTTGCTGCTGTATCTTATCTGTTAAGCGGTTTAACAAGCCTTAGTTGTCTCACTTATTTTTAGCTGGCATGGAATATAACAACAGTGAAAGATTGTGGCTGCAGGTGCCTTCGCATTCTAGTAACAACAGATAAGTAACTTTTTAAGGAAAAACACTGTTTCAGAGCGTTGCACTCCGATATTGCAAGAAGGTGGAGAAACTAATGTCTTGGAGACTGTTAAAAAAAGGAGGAAAGAAAACCAGGATGCAAATAACAGAGTGGAGAAAAGCTAAAGGAATAACACCGACTAGTTGCATTGATTAAAAATGAAGCTTGTGCATCTTTTAACTTTATTCACATTTTGACGTTAAGCACAGAAAAATGTATTTGCTTTAGCAGTAATTTACTATCTACACATTTACTACCCAGACATTTTTGTCTACCACTGACTTTTTTTTGCTTCTGTCTCTCGTGATGAACTGTCCTGCCTACCCACAGTACCGGCTTACCTTCAGCACTTGCTTCAGCCATGCTTGCTTTTGCAGTGCAGTGTCTCTGACGGAAATCCTGTGATCAGGCTAACTTCCTCTCCTGCAAGCCCGCTCTCTCCTCCATTTCTGCCTTCTTACAGCTAAACAATTCTGCTTCTGCAGTTTATCTGCACGCCCGTAGTCCTGGCTAGCTTTTCATTGCTGCTAACCCTTGCCAAGCCTTCCTTGCCGCTCTCCTCTATGCTCACCATTTTCTTTAAAGATAAAATTAACAAAATATTCTCTTGATGCTTCCCCATTCTACAGGTCTGTAAGTGGCAGTAACAAAAAAATCTTATTTACACAACTTCTGTAACTCCATCACTTGCCCTGTTAACCTCACCCTATTTCATCTCTGAGCTTCCTCACACCCACTCTTTCACTGTTCACGCTTGAGTCATTCAGCCTGCTTGGACCCCCCAGCACCCACACAGATATGCTCATCTCTTTTACATTAAAAAAAGAAAAAAAAAAAGCCTTTGGGAGAAGTGCTGCTTGTCATCTCACTTTTACAAGTCTTTCAATCGCATCTCTTGTCCAGTTCTACCCTAAATCCCCTTCAAACTTGGTTTTGCTTCCTCTCATCATCTGAAAGCTTCTCAACCCATCTTAAACCGATCTCTTTGCCCTTCAGTCACGTTTAGCATAGCTGGCGTCCCACCATAGCGTTTGCAACAATTCTCACCTATTGCTTCTCCAATGCCTGTTTCAGCTCGGCTCGTCAGTACCTTCCCTTGCTTTTCTTTTCTTTTCCCACAAGAGCTGCAGTGAGCACTGTTCTTGCCTCTCCTCCCCTCCCTTCCAGCTCATAGCTCAACATCCTAATGGGCAAACATAGATGTGATTGCCTCTCGTTACCGTCTCCTTTCAGACTTCAGGTGTCTCCATCGCAATTTACAGTCTTGGTAATGAGCGTGTGTCAGACAGACCATCTGCCTGAAAAACAACCTTTTTTCTACTGAGCGATTTTACAGCCAACTGTGCAAAGAAGTGGGTGGAACCTCGCAGCCAGAAACGTGTGGTTTGGGCTCAGCTTGGTCTAAACTGCTGTGGAGATGTCAACCAAGACGTGACCTTTGTTATTTATTGACCTGGCTGGGAATCTTGCTCAAGGTCTCCTCATCTCGGTTACTGTTGACATCCTTTTCTCTGGCCTCAACAAATAAAGCAGTCACTTCCATTCAGAAAGCTCTGCAACACCGTTTTCTTTGTTCTTCAGATTAACTATGTTAGTTCTCCACATCTTTCCAAAGAGAGTCTTCTCTATCACACACAACACTGTTAGCCTTCAACTGCAAGCCCATTCACACGCTGATCTGGTCCTACGTACCTTTAGTTGACACCGAAAGGGTATCTCCAGGTATCTCCTATCTCCTGCCAGCCGGAACAACTGAAGTCCCCTACTGTGCTTTCAGGTAAAGACCTTCCTGCTTTATCCCATGATGAGCTCCTCTTGAACACCTGTAGAGGTTGGCATTGACAACTTATTTTCCATAAAGCTCCTCCTCATCTGTATATAGATACTGCATATAGATCTATTAGGCTTTTACCTAACCTTTTGGAGCAGAAGTACTTGCACGAGTTCGCTCTTTCATTGTTCTACATAACGTTTAACATAACACTGGCTTGGATTATCCCTGAGGCCACTGAGCTTGGACATAAGTATTTGGTGTGATACTATCCACAATGAATGAATGAATGTATGAATAAACCAATTAAAATATTTTATTTGGCAAATTACAAGAGGCAATCAGTTAAATAAGGGTTTTTTTTAAAGTTCTATTGTCAGTGCTTCCTTAAATGCATCTTCTCTTCATCGTAATTCGATGCAGCGTAAGGCACCCTTTTTGCCATTCTTATTCTGAGCACTTACTTTCAGCCGTACTATTAAACCCAATAGGATTACTTGCATAGAGTTATTGTTATTAAATTTATTTATTTATCCTCTGCATGAAGACTCAGAAGCTTCCTATAGCATGGTATCTGTATATAGCAGGCAGTCTGTGCCCTGAGATGCTTACAGTTGATTGAGACAAGACAGACATAGGGGGTGTTAATTACAGCAACAATTTCAAGGCGGTGAATATGTTGGTTCTCTTTTTTTTTTTTTAGGAGAGGGGAACTAGAAAAATCAAGACAATAACAAGGAAATGAAGAAGAAAGGGAAGGAAGCAATGAGGACAGGTATGGCACAAAACTGGTATGAACAGACAGCAAGGGCAGGGCTTGGAGTGAACTGCAGGTTTGATAGAACAGCAAAATTAGGCCCAAGATCACAAAGTCCCTATACAAGTAAAATTCAATTGAATTTCAGTCAACACCATGCATAATCATAGTAATTAAAGGTTTAAAAAAAATGGCAAACAGAACGATAATTTTTTATCAGCAGTAAACATGCCATGTAAGGAGGGTTAGCACCCGAGAAGGTATGGGCATATTTTTCTTTCGCTAACCACAGGCTTTGAGTGGGGAGTGAGAAT